AGCCCCGAACGAGATCTTTAGACACTTCCATCCTTCTCACAGCTGCCCGGCTTATAACTGATGGCCGGGCACGGTGCGCGTGTTTTTTATAACGTCTGATGTTCCTACTTCCGGCTGTCCGAATTTGAAAACAATTGCTACACGCATTTCGTATATATTTCAACTTCATTCAATAACTAATCAAAAACGGACAGAACTTTTTGGTTACCTTATATATATATATATATATATATATATATATATATATATATATATATATATTATTTTAATGTTTATACATTCTTTTTAAATATTTAAGTAAATGCTCGGTTTATAATAAACAGTATTAACAACATTTACCGGGCTGAATATCCGAGAAGAGACGGCTACATTTAACTGTTTTGACAGTGAAAAGGGGGGGGGGGCAGATGCCAATCTAGCAGTTTAAATTCATGCAGTTAGGGTACCAGTGAAAATAGCTCGTCGGAGTAGTTGCCATGAAAATATTTGTAGAAAAGACAGAGGGAAGCTACAGCACGTCTGTGCGAAAGTGACTAGAGTCGAGATGCCAGGTGCATTGCATATTGCATATCGGTATCTGAACATTGGGGCCACCTGACCATATATGGCAACAGTATTCATGTTTTGTCTTATTAGATTGACGTCCGTCGTATACAAGGAGGGTTGATAAAATATTGTTCAAATTTTGAATAATTTCTGTGGATGTAAATTGTAAATTCCGGGCACAATTCAAAATGCAAATATATAATATCATTACTTGGCAGGAAGCGACTTTCTCTGAATAAACAAGACTGATCCATTTCAAATTCATGAACACGTGCAGGATTGGTTCAGGGGATTTGAAACCAATTAACTTTTGAATTGAAGAAAATGGCGGATATACTAAATTCTTATGTCAGAAAGACGCCATGTTCTGTATCTAGAATAAATACACTTTCATTTGGCCTGATGTTTATGATATGTATTGAAGTTATTAACTATCTAAAACGCACAGGGCTTTACTTAACAACAACGACTATATAAACGAAATACATATATATGAATAAAATACAAATATCAAATTTCTCACTTAACTGATTGGTTTTATATTCAGTACCACGACTCGTTGACGAAACTATTGTAATTGTTCGGTCCACCTATCAGGAGGCTTCAGTAAAAAGCAAATATTTCCTTATATATATATATATATATATATATATATATATATATAAGTCAACATTGAAGTCAAGACTGAGAGGCTGTTACATGCTAGACACAATCAAAACAGTCTGTCGCCTCTGAGTGTTGACTTCAATGTTCACTTTTATATTTATATTTACATACGCTCTATCTCTGATATTGAGAACTTTATTCTATAAATATAGCACACTCATTTGTATATATATACATACATATATATATATATATATATATATATATATATATATATATATATATATACAAATGAGATAAAGAAGAGATGTAAAAATCAACTGTTCGTAGCATTTACTTTTAAAACTAACTCAATACAAAGTAGAGCAATAAATTATTATTATATTTTTATTATAAGAGATTATAATAAAAAAACACATTTTTAAAATCGCTACACAATATTTTTCATGTTTCAATAATCTAATTGTACTTCTTCAGTAAGTAAGACCTTAAAATATCATGAGTAAACTAGTATTACTTCATTTACACTGTTTGGACTGTTGTCCTCATCTTTATTGTCATGTTTCGGCTGTTGTATGCTCTGGCTTTCTTCAGGTGATATATTTAGGAATTTCAAACTGAACCATTTATTTAGTCTACTGGGGTAGATTGTTCTAGTCCACATGCCATGCCTTTTCTGAATATCTCAGTTTCAGTTATTTTCCTTTAGTAACTCACCAAGAATTGTTAACTTTTGCTCTGGCTAGGTATTGAACTCACGATACTTTGAATCAAGTCACTGGATTACTTTAACCAACACCTTTATCCACTGGACCATGTGTCCTTAGGGAAATTTTGTGAATATGACAAAGATGAGGACAACAGTTTGAAGAATATAAATAGTTACACTACCTCGTCTCGGAAATATCGTAGTATCACTCCATTTTGTTTTAATTCTTATTTATATCAGTGTTTGTAGAATTTACTTTTAAAAGTGCTCAATACAAAGTATAGCAAAACATTATCATTATATTTTAGTTATATAAGATTATAATAAAAACATTTTGAAATCGATACATAATGTAATAATCAGGTGGCCTGACGATTGCGTCTAGCATGAAACTGACTGTCGTCTCTAAGTGTTGACTTATATGTTCACTTTTATATTTACACACGCTCTATCTCTGATAATGAGCACTTTATCCCATAAATATAGCACACCTTAAGATTATATATATATATATATATATATATATATATATATATATATATATATAGGCTCTTTCGTGATGGACGCAATCGTCAGACGGCCTGATGATTGCTTTTTTATCACGCTCAGACACTATTGTCTCGACTGTTGATTAATTGTCCTAAGGCCATTATCTGCGATGGACGTTACTCCAAAGAAGCGTGCGAAAGTTGTAATGCTGCACACACACACACTGGCAAGCCTTACCGGTGAGTAAATCAAAGTACTATAGACTGGCCCGGAAACTGATTTAAATCTAATCGAGAAAAAATTTCATTGGGAAAATATTTTAAAATAAGTAAATAATAACGGAATTATTCTCTTTTTTATTTTTCAATTAATTTGCACAAGGGTGTAGGTACATGTGCATGCATGTATAAACAGAACAATTGGGCCTCTCTACGAATGCTAATGGTACCATTTAAACCTCATGTTCAGTTTACTGGCGATAACCGGTACTTCCACCAAGATATTCTAGTGAATAGGTTGACTAGGCACCCAGCAGGATGCAACTAAAGTTGAGTCAAAAGACGAATTAAACTTCTTGGGTCAAATGCCATTTAGTATCCAATAGTTCACTGGGAGTAAATGACCCCCTCGCCTGTCCTTGTTAGGTCATTAATAACAGAATGAATAATGTGACATAAAACCTGCGGCTTAATAACAATCAATGATCCCGACCGGTTCTTCCACTTTAAAGAAGCTGATCATATCGAAGGGCTCTCAATTTCAAAAAAATAATTATGGTTTGTCATGCCTTCTCCCATAGTCATTATCTGCTCACAAAAAGCGATGGCTATGTTTGATAATGAGAAGGTCGCCAAAATAAACATTGTTGTAATAGAAATCGAAACTGCATGGGGATTTGCAGTTTCGCGCCATGAGCGATTTGTAAGAGTTCTTGGATCGCAAAGGAAAATATTTGTCAAATATTATTTCCAAAACGAAGAGAATAAATCACTGAAAGATCTCGAAGATCAGGGGCTGAAAGAAAATGTCGAAATCTCAATTTACAGGTATTATGTAACAAATCACAATTTACGTAACCAGTCAGAAAAAATAACTCATTCACCGAAGATGGTCGCAGTTACCAAATACCATCCCCGATTCGAAAACACCAACTGCTTTTATCGGCCGAGCATTTTTTTTCATTCGTCGACAACTGGGAGAGGACGCACAATATTAGCATATCAATATACTTTTATGGCGACTCTTACGACTAACTTGTTTCTAATTTAAATATCCTATCTTCAGCATGTCATGCAGAATACATGCCGTTTCTTGCGGCAAGTAACTTTCCTTTTCGCCACGGTTTGCGTCGTAGGATACAGGCGAAACGCTGTCGCTTGCTTTGACGATGTAATTCGCCGTTTTCTTCGCTATACGATTATAATTAATGTGTGGAACTACCACACACGATGCAATGTTGACTTTTATGTCTTCTTCTGTCCTTGATATTGAACATAGCTAGCCAATCCCTATTTCAGACGCTTGCTCAGGCGCATTTCTGTTTATTTAACACCCACAGAGCCCACCTGTTATTTATACTGCAACTATGCTGAGCAGAACTTAGTTACAGTTTCTGAGAAAGAGCGTGTTATCTAGCGTGATCAACAAACCTGAATAAGGCCAGCACGCTCAAGACCTTGGCCACGGGGACTTTCCTAAGATGTCGCACGCGGGATCGACTTCCCCTAGTTTGATAACATCAGGAAGTCTCCTTCCTGGCATATCGACCATTCGAACCCGGTGTTCGAACTCGATTTCCATGGTCAGAATCCGAACGTTCCAACTACTCGTCTACATCCCTATTGATATTGAGAACACATACACAATTATATATATATATATATATATATATATATATATATATATATATATATATATCTTTCTGTGCTTACGTTGATGAGTAAAGATATACTTTTTTGTGTGTTCCTATTTCAAACTCTTTTATATAGATCGTCTATAAGGAACGAGTGTTGAACTATAATATCAATCCGCTTCTATGGCAGTAAATGTTGGGCAAAGATGAAGAAAAATCATAAGGCAACAGAAATGTGGTTCTACAGAAGGATACTGAGCATAACATTGACGATGACGTAAGAAAAAAGTCATAAGTAAAATGAAAAAAAGGACACTTATAATCACAATCCGAAAGAAACAGTGGGGATCACTGGGGTGGGGACAGAGAAAGAAGGGCTTAGAGAATTTGACACTCTCAGGGCTTAGCGAGGTGAACTGGAAAAGACAGCAGAACAATCTTGTGTGAAGGGATGACAGAACTGGAAGCAAGAGGCTGGACAATTGACAAATCTTGAGAAGTGATACAACGGATAGGAAATTGTGAAGAGCCATGATCGCCCACGTCACATAGAAGAATATCCTATATTTATATTTATACGCGTGGGTGGATGTCTTTGAGTTTAGTGTAGTAATCATGTTTCGTATCTTTTTCGTTTGTTAAAATAATCGATTTGAAAGCCTTTCATTGATTAGCTGTGATCTCATTGGAAAGCTAACGTGTTATTAGCCTGATTGATGAGAATTTGCTTGCCAAAGTGCTTTTTGAAAAACATGAGTCCAAATTCGAATCGAAGAATTTAATGAGAATCATCAGAAACTAAAATAGGACCGTGAAAGTGATTAACGACTGAAAGAAATGAAATGAAATAAAAATGAAAGAAGAAGAAATTATTGAAAGGGAAAGTAAGAAGAAAGAGGGAAAGAGGTGGAAAGAACGGGGAAGGAAAGAAAGAAAAAACATTGGAAAAGAAATGTGTTGTAGAAAGAAAAAAAGAAAGAAAGAAAGATACATAGAAAGATAGAAAAAGATAGAAAGAAAGAAAGAAAGAAAAGAAAAGATAAGAAAGAAAGAAGGATTGAAAGAAAGGAAGAAAGAAAGAAAGAAAAAGGGAAAGAAAGAAAGAACGATAGAAAATAGAAATAAAGAAAAAGAAAAGATAGCAAGAAAGAAAGAACGATAGAAAAATAGAAAGAAAGAAAGAAAGATAGAAAGATAGAATGAAAGAAACATTGAAAGAAAGAATGAACAATGCATAGAAAGAAAGAAAAAGATAGAAAGATAGAAAGAAAGAAAGAAAAGATAAGAAAGAAAGAAAAGATAAGAAAGAAAGATTGAAAGAAAAATAGAAAGAAAGAAAGAAAGAAAGGAAAAGGAAAGAAAGAAAAGGGGAAAGAAAGAAAGAACGATAGAAAATAGAAATATAGAAACAGAAAAGATAGAAAGAAAGAAAGATAGAAACATAGAAAGAAAGAAAGATAAAAAGTAAGAAAGAATGAATAAAGTAAGAAAGAAAGATAGAAAGAAAGAATAAAAGAAACATAGAAAGATAGAAAGAAAGCAAGAAAGAGAGATAGATAGGAAGAAAGAAAGATAGAAAGATAGAAACATAGAAACAAAGAAAGTAAGAAAAATATAATTACTCGTACGAATGGAAGAAAGTTATAAAGAAACAAAGAAGTAACAAACAAAAAAAGAAACGAAACAAGAAAAACAATTACTCCCATGAAAAAAAAGAAAGATGAAAAAGAAAGAAAGAAAGAAAAAAGAAAGAAAGAAAGAAAGAAAGAAAGAAATAGGAGAAAATCAAAGAAAGAAGCCATTGGTTGAAGAAAGCAAAAAAATTACTCGTAAGAATGAAAGAAAGAAAAAAGAAAGAAAGAACGGAATTAGGTAATAAAATGTCAACAAATAGAGAGAGAGAAAGAAAGAGTGAAGCGTACAAGTTTATTGAAAAGGAGAAATGATAAAAAAAGGCTTTGGAGAAAAAGAAAGAGAAAGAGAAAAAGAAGAAAAATTAATTCAGTTCGAATAAAACAACAAATGCATAGTAAAAGGTCAGCAAAAACGCAAAGAGAAGAAAAGAAAGAATGAAGGCTAAAAAAAAAAGATGAAGAAAGGATGATATGTAAAGAAGATGAGAAGTAAGTGAGAATGACAGAGGAAGGGAGGAAATAGGTGCGGGGAGGGGAATAGAGACTCCAGTTCGTTACTCTGAGTGCATTGAACAGACATTTTCTTTGATTGGTTGAATCAAAAGGAATGATTATTTTCGTCTTTCTACAGTCAGATTCGATTAAAAATAGTTTATATTATCTTTCGATTATTGATCGATAAATTTAATTTAGATGAAAAAAATTATGTAATTTTTGTTTTTATAGTTTTAGTTTTTTAAATCGACACTTTATATCGTTTAGCGCTAACCGTACCTGATGGCTGTCACATCGTTGTCGATTATGTCCATCACAAGATAGCATTCAAAGATTTTAACAGGTAAAAATAATGTACAGGAAATGATTTAAAATATTGGAAAACGTTCCACTGAGTCAATGCTATTCTCTGAGCAAGAACATTATGCACTGAATTATTGGAACTCAGGGTAACATCAGTTTTTCTTCTTGTTAGATATCTTAACGAAGGCTGAGAGTTCTATAACTTCCGGTGAGCTTACCGCCTGCCTAGAAACTAACCTAGGCATGCATGATGGCAGCGACTCATTTTCGAGTAATGTTATCATTTGATTTATTCACAAAGATGGTCAGTGCGTATCAGACATTTTAGTCAAGCTCGGGCATTACATGCATTCGTGCAGATGCGGCAAGGTGGTGCGCAAGTGACTTGGAGTAGTTGTTACATTTATATTTTGTGAGCTATAGCGATTCTCCAAGGGTAGCTCAGATGTGGCACAAGGCCGAAAGTATGGGCCACCCAGTGAGGATCGAACTCACTACTCAGTCGTAATTGTTTCTAGCGAGACAAGTTTGCTAGCCATTACATCACCTCGAGGTGCCTTTAAAGATTTTCTAAGCGTATCTTAGATGTGGCAGAAGGCCGAACATGTAGGGTACCCAGTGAGGCTCGAACTCACTATTCAGTCGTAATAGATTTAACGCGACAAGCTTGCTAACCATTACACCACGTCGAGGTGCCCAACTGTTTTTCCAAGCGTAGCTTAGATGTGGCACAAGGCCGAAAGTATGGGGCACCCATTGAGGATCGAACTCACTACTCAGTCGTAATCTAGAGAGACAAGTTTGCTAACCATTACACTGCCTAGAGGTACCCTAATTTTCTGAGCTATATCTGTGCGGATCTTTAATGAAATTTTAGGCCTGCTCTACTTAGATTGATAGACACAACTATTCATTTCCAGTTATATGAAATTTTTAACATCTGTGCGAATCTTTAATGATATTTGAGGCCTGATCTACTTAGATTGATAGACTTAACTATTCATTTCCAGTTATATGAAATTTTTTAACACCATTTACAGGGAAATTAAGATCGTGACCATTACGAATATCACTTCTGAGTATTTGATGTTCAACACAATTTTGTTCAGGATCTCGCTAAGCACTTGTGCACTGTTTTCCTCCAGGATGAACGATTTAGAGTTGGCTTTTCCAATTCATTTTGCATTGGGTAGGCCTTCTTCTTAAGTGTGTTCATGAAGCAATATTTATATATCAATTTCGATTTGTGCACCCGTTTTCTTTCGTTGGCCAACTTATTGTCTAGAAACCTCTTAGGGGTCCGGTTTTCCTGACCACTCTATGGTAACCAGAGCTGAAGTACCAGAGATAGTATAGTAGTAAGGTTAACTGTTATATATCCTGCATATCTTCATAATCTACTTCATCATCTGACATCTATACAACAACCTCATTCATAAGCCTCTACATTGAGTAGCACTGGGCTTTGTATTGAGTTTGGTTTGGTTTGTTTTGTTTTACGGCATATCAACCTCGATGGGTTATTTAATCCCTACAAAATGTTCATTGCTGGTAATATTTTGTTTTGTCAAAAATCTATTTCCGGTAATATTTCTTTTTCAAAAATGTATAGCTGGTAATATTTTTTGCAAAAACGTATTGCTGGAAATATTTTTTTCAAAAAATATATTAATGGTAATCGTTTTTTTCTTGAAAAATTTATTGCTGGAAATAATTTGTTACATAGTATTTCGGGTATTAAAGCCTATTTTTACACTTTCATAGAGTTTTTACACCAGTTTCGGGGTTAACTATTTGCCCATAGCTGGGACCCTAACAGGTGCTACCACTCCGGGTCAGGGCGGACCTGGGAACACCAGCAATTAAAACCTCCTGATCAGAGTCCTTGCTGTCGAACGGAGTTTATCGTCTTACCCAGGACGCGGATGTAGTTTATTGTCTTACCCAGGGCGCGGATGTAGTTTATCTTCTTACCCAGGCCGTGGATGTAGTTTATCGTCATATCCAGGAGGGTTGTATTGGGTAAACATTTAATAAAATAATAAATTTACGTATTAATTATTGATATGAATAAGTCTTGACCTTGCAAGAAAGCAATTTAATCTTCCCCTTTAATTTTACTCATACAACGAAGCTGTTCCTTAATTGATACATTAATTAGAATAACAGTTTAATTAAAAGTGAAATATAATAAGACGATAATTATAATTACAAATGAATTTAAAAAACAACATATTAGAATGACAGAATAATCAGAATAACATAATTAGAATATCAGGTTCATTAGAATGACAGACTGCGAATATCAGGTTTATTGGAATAACAGAATGGGAATATCAGGTTTATTGGAATGCTTAAATTAGAATATAAGATTAAATAGAAGGACAATTAGATTATTGTTAATAAGAATGACAGAATTAGAGTATCAGATTATTAAGATTTAGAATAGCAGATTAATTAGAATTACAGAATTACAATATCAAATTTATTAGTCTGATAGTATTAAAATATCAATTTAATTTGAATGACAAATATAGAATATCAGGTTAATTAGAATGAGGAATTATTTCACTCATATTAAAAAATAATTGAGCAATGAAATCAAAACACAAATTTTATAAACCTTCCACTTCCTATCCATGGAAATTTCATGTTAAGACCGGAAATGCCCATCGCCTTTTCCAAAAGCATGACTTGATTCAGAGCAAGATTTTATCATCAAGAGCATTTATGATATTTACAGCACTGTTTAGATACCCGAACTCATCTAGAACCTTCGTTTTTTTTAAGCATTCCACCCCAAGCAAGGCGGGAAGCCACTAGCACGCAAGGGGTTACAGAGAGTTGGAGCTAGCGCAAATAGGAATGATAGAGGAAAGGATGAAGAGAAGGATAGGGGATAGATCAAGGCATCTGGAGAAGTCAATTGACATTACATTTGAATAGTTGGTGATTATAGCTATCAGGGAAACAGGAAAAGGGGAGGGAGGTCCACAGGCGATAAGTGCGAGACATGAAGCGATTGGAGTAGAAGAGACGGCTACATTTAACAATTTCGACAGTGAAAGGGTGAGAGCGAGATGCCAGTCTAGTTGAACGCTTAAATTCATGAAATCTGGGAACCAGCGAAAGCAGCTCATCGGAGCAGTTACCGTGAAAGTATTTGTAAAAAAGACAGAGGGAGGCGACGGCACGTCTGTGAGAGAGCGACTGCAGACGAGATGCGAGATCAGGGCCAATTACATTTCATATCCATCTCTAATTTCTGACCATACATAGAAATTATGGGATCAAAGTAGGCTTTATCTGGAATACTTTGGTGCGTCTGTCTTTTCTTTTTTAGGTTCATTGTTAGACGCAATTTGCTACATGCTGTCATAAAGAAAACAATACAATGTTTCATGTCACTCAACCACAACACAATCTTCAGCCAAGAAGATATCGCGTATTAGTGATTGCAAAGGCTTTTTTTTTGTAGCAGCAGCCAACAGACTTCTAATCAACAACATATCCATTGTCCGATATTTTCTATAGGATCCATGGAATCCTTTTTTTAAAAGCTATCATACACGCATACAACATTAAAGTCGTGCTGGTTTGTTTGTACCTTTCTAACTTGTAGTAATCGAGTAAGAGAAAACATATATGACGTAATGACACTATTTACATTATTCGGACTATTGTCCTCATGTTTGTCACCATATTTATTACAACGTTTCGGCCGTTGTACGCTCCGGCCTTCATCAGGTGGTTGGAATGTCGAACTGAACCCTTTATTTCTCAACTTCACTCCAGACATAATAACCAAGGCGTGTGCAGTCTAGGGTCTAGAGTTAGGTGCCAGCTATAAGGGGTGATGTGGTCGCCTAACTTGTCTGAAAGCCATGACTGGGTTCTCCTGCTTCTGTGGCATGGTCCAAAGTCCTGTGGCCAGACATAGACTCTTCTAGCAGCCAAGCTCCAACCCAGAACAGCACTACCGCCTCAAGGCATTTATGCAGACCTCCGTGTTGAGTCTGAGGCTCTGTGGGAAAATGAATGGAGGCATAACGTCGCCATCGCTAGTGATGATTCCAAACACCTTCGTAATCACCATTAGACTCATCCAACTCCTTCCGAATCGTCTTTCATTGACACCCAAACATTCAGAAATATTCGTATTTGTGCTTCTGGTGCGAATGCCAAGCAGTACAGCATGCCGTTTCCAAATTTCTGGCGGAGTGAATTGCGTCATATTACTCTTTTTCTTACAGACGGTGCCCAACTGACCCCACTATACTGTGCAGGCGATAAAATCAAAAACAAACAACCCGCATGAGCGAAATTAAAAATATAATATATATCAATTGTAAGACATAATGTATAGTTATAAACATTTGCCTATCTATCTATCTATCTGTCTGTCTATCTATGTATCTTAGTTTGTTCATCTCAGACAATTTTCTAAAGATGTAATGTCATTTTATGAAATCTTTTCCCATATTTCGCTTGGAATTGTAATTTTTGTTTTCTTTCTTCGACTTCTCTGCAAGTGAACAATTCATTTTTTTTTTTCATCTTGCAGATTTTGGAGCATTCTCGGAGTATTATCTGGGATCGGCGCCCTCATCATAGGCATCACCTATCTTATTTGCCGCTTCAAGAAACCGACCAATCAGGGTAACTTTACTTTCACTACATTCTGTCGACATTCAATCCATTCAAGCGGTGTTGAATTTTGAAGAAGTTTTTTTTTTATTTAAATTCCACTGCAAATTTGGTTTTTAAATTTAAAATTGTAATAAAGTTTATGGATATGAGAAATTGGTTACAAAGTCCGAATATGAGGGATTCCGAACATGAGAAATTGGTTAAAAAGTTCGGATATGAGGAATTGGTTACAAAGTCCGGATATGAGGAATTGGTTACAAAGTCCGATATGAGGGATTCCCGACATGAGAAATTTGTTAAAAAGTCCGGATATGCGGAATTGGTTACAAAGTCCGGATATGAGGAATTGGTTACAAAGTCCGGATATGAGGGATTCCGGACATGAGAAATTGGTTTAAAAGTCCGGATATGAGGAATTGGTTACAAAGTCCGGGTATGAGGAATTGGTTACAAAGTCCGGATATGAGGGATTCCGGACATGAGAAATTGGTTAAAAAGTTCGGATATGAGGAATTGGTTACAAAGTCCGGATATGAGGAATTTGTTACAAAGTCCGGATATGTGGAATTGGTTACAAAGTATGGATACGAGGTGTTATATTTACATTAAAATAAATGGAATAAAATCAGGTTTAACCATTACTTTCAGTGTTTTATAGTAAACAAAACAAGTTAATGGTGAGTGAAATATAACGGAATTGATTTTAAAGAAAAAGAACTATTGTCCTTATGTTTGTCGCCATATTTATTACAACGTTCCGGCCGTTGTACGCTCCGGCCTTCTTCAGGTGGTTGGAATGTCGAACTGAACCCTTTATTTCGCTCACTGGGGTAGACTGTTCTAGTTCCACGTGTCATGTTTAATGGATGTCAGTTATCAATTATCTCCTGTTAATTTCCCTCTGAAAGTTCTCCACTGCCTTAACCGGGTATTGAACTCACGCTATTTGGTTCCTATCACTGGATGTAACCGTGCCATGTGTCCTTGAGAACACATGGCACGTGGAACTAGAACAGTCTACCCCAGTGATGTTCCTTTTCCAATGCTTCCTTTAAACACAAAACCGCTCTATCTAAGCATTATTGGAAGATTAAAGATAGAGGCTTCACCCCCACAAAGTAAATGAGACATCATCTGTCGGTCTCATACTCGCAAGAACTTTAGAGACAGATGCAGTCTGCGCATACAAGAGAAAACTGCAATAATCAAATACAGTTGTTTAATCAAAGAAGAAAACTTATTTTCAAGTGTAGACATAAGAACACGTTTAAAAGTCCCAAAAGTTGACTTTATGCATTCTTGAAATGATGTTGATTTGTCCTACCTAAAATAAGAGGTCATAGCGGTCAATTTGCTGTATCACCCGATGTACAAAGTTCCACAGTTTAAGGAAGAAATTCTTATTCCCCAACTCCCTCTCTATTTGACATTTTAAAAATAATCTGTCATTTTTCTTTCTTCCTCTTCCTCTTTCTTCTCTTCCTTCTAATCTCACTGTCCATTTAATATATCAGAGATGAATAAATAGAAATATTCACGAAATAAATTATAACCGAAATGAACCTTTAAGGTTTTCTTCTCGATTAATTATATATATATATATATATATATATATATATGGTAGGTCTGTTGTGAAAAATGAGTGAACTCTGTGAGTAATGGACATCATTCACCGTGAGTTCTTGCCACAGAACCACACAATCAATCACCATGTCTTCAAAGACATCCAATGGTGTTTGTTTTGCTCAGTGCTCAAGAAGAGATGAGTGTTGTGGCAGGACAAACCGTGGCTGCTACCCCATGACAATGCATCTACTCACAGTACCATGAGCATTTGTCAGATCCTGGCTGAGAAGAACATTATCGTACTGGAACAACCTTTCTCAGCGGGACTTTTTTTTCGTTTCTCCAAGTAAAACGGGGGTCACCAAGGGACTTGTTTTTGAAGGCGTGGAGGCCATCAAAAGGACTATAACGGCGGACCTGAGGAGCATTCTAGAAGAATCCTTTCAACAGTGCATAGAAGCATGACAGGGAAGGATGTAAAAGTCCATTAGACTCGAGGGGGGATTACTTTGAGGGTGAAACCATGTAGCTTATTGTTTGGAATTGAAATAAATTGTTTGTGACACAAGTCCTGTTAATTTTCAAACAGACCTCGTGCATATATACTCGACTCTCCCGTCGAATTCGACGTATGAGGGTCAAGCAGATCAGTTCTTAGGAAAATGGCAGCCCGACACCAGCACATGACATTTAATTATAGTGGTGAAGGTTTTGTGCAGAATCATCCACACAAGGACCAAATACAGAGACTTGGTGTACTACGTGCCACAAGGTCCCCAAACAACCCTCCGCATGTTTTGAATTCAGAGTTTTCCTTCTCCTAGACCAGTTTCCACCCAAGGCTATAGAACCCAGTCTGTCCTGCTATTTACCCATAGCTGGAGGGAGAAGAAGAGGATTCACACCTTTCCCAAGGATATTAGCACAAGTGAATCTAATGGATTCGAGTGGAATCAATCCAAGCCGCTATCCACACAGACACACACACACAGACACATTACACACACACCACACACAAATATATATATATATATATATATGTGTGTGTGTGTGTGTGTGTGTGTGTGTGTTAATACTAATAATCTTATAAACATAAGCAGCTATACTCGTCCGGCAAAACCTTAGGACATCAAGGGAATGAATGTTGACGAATGTCTAATGCATAAAGATACATTTCGTGGTGACATACACGCACCATAGACAATTTAATGTTAGAATAAGAGGGAGGGAAAGGGAAAGAGGAGGTGGGGGAGAGAGATGGGACGAAGGAAAGTAAAATTGCGTTTACTTAAAGGGCCGCTTTGTAATTGAGAAAGTTTGACAAATTTAATATCGACTACAGGTTACAAATCAAATATAAACATATGAAGATAAATATAACGATTGTCTAATCCAGCAAGGACCTATATTTCTATGTTCAAAAACACATGCGAATACACACAATAACATATACATGTATATACATACACATAGGCGTGTACCCACACACACAGATACACATATACATACGTGTACACACATATATAAAAAAATATAAAAATATATTCACATATCCACACATACACATATTCATCTATATCCATATACACACACACATACATGCATGTATACACACAGACAGCCATCCGCATCCTGTCCTTCATATATACAACCACATATATACATACGGACATACGCATATGTACAAATAAACATAAAACCTTAAATTTCTATTTAATTATTTAAACAAATAGACAATGTATCCTTATATCTATCCGTCTAACTATATATACACATATATCCACGTACATATACACCCATATACAAATATATATGAGTACATACATACCAAAAATACATACACATATACACATATATACACATGTCTACATATACGTCCATCTACATATATGCCCATCCATCTACACATACGTACATCCATATACGTATATGTAGATATGTGTATATATGTGTATATGTGTATGTATTTTTTCCCTTTCCCTCCCTCTTATTCTAACATTAAATTGTCTATGGTGTGTGTATGTCACCACGAAATGTATCTTTATGCATTAGACATCCGTCGACATTCATTCCCTTCTCGTATTTAAAACCCTTCCCCCCACATCTCCTAAAATTCTCTCTGTTAAGGTTTCATCTCCCTCCTCCTCATACTTACACTTTCTCTAAATTCTGTTTTTACTTCCGGAGTGGGTTTTTTCTGTTTTCTTTTTGAATTTGTAGGTCTGATTAATTGGATCGTATTTACTATTCCAATGGAATGAATTATGACCATGGAATATTAGTGTTTAAGCCTTTTTATTATTACTCTGTCCTAGACATTGAGTTCTACCTGGATTCTTCCTCTTGGAAAATTTTTTTTCTGAAAATATACATGTATGGGTATTTATATATTTTGCATATGTATGTATATTTTCCACTAATATTATCTTCTCTCTCTCTCTCTCTCTCTCTCTATATATATATATATATATATATATATATATATTGTTGTAGAGTCTTCCCTCTAATGAGTCTATTATGGACTCTTCCACTTACTATAAAGTAGTAGGAAAAGTAAGAAAGGTGATATAGACTGTTCTACCGAGGCTGTGACTGTTCGCAGGTGTTGTCGAAATCTCTGCCTTGGGCAGAGAAGAACCCGGACGACGCTGTGCCGCTGGGCGGAATTTCGTCCGGGGAGTACCAGGGGTATTTTTGGGCCGAGCCTACGGACTCGAATGAGCCACGTTAAACTCGGCCTTGTACCACATATATCCCTTGTGGGCGGAGGAGGGGCCTCTTAAATATAACGGTGATATAGACTGAAAATTGGTCAACCGATACACTCCCAAGTCGTGTAACACACTTCTGTTGTATTTACTGTTCAATACACTATTTATCTGCAACCTCTTGTTTTGTTATTTCTTAACCAATTACTTGATCACAACATATATATATATATATATATATATATATATATATATTGAACAATAAAAAATATTAAAAAATTAAAATCTTCAGACACACTGGGTTGTAGATTAATATTCTTTCGTTTTTTTTATTATTATTTCATTTAGATTCCTCGATTAGTTTCGGCCAACATAAACCATCATCAGGAGAAGAAATATTTCTGTTTGCTTATAGCAGTAAACTACAGAAATGAATGTCTTGCTGGAGAAAATGAACTTTTGTCCGTAGTTTTCATTTGTTTTTTTATCTTTTTTATCTTCTTAACATGAATCTTTTAACATTCCTTGTGTTGGTCAAACAGTCTCTTTTAAGTTGTTATTTGAGATAAGAGCTAGATGGATCTATGCTTCTCTGAATTCCCGTGACATTTTGACAGTTTTATTGGTCCTGGAGATGGGATGTGTCTCTGTTTAGTGTTTGTGTGTGTGTTATTTGGTTCTTAGGGAGTGAGTGAGTATGATATGTGTAAACGTGTGTATTGCTGTGGGCGTGTGTTATCATTTGGCTCATTAGGGAGTGAGTGAGTATGATGTGTGTAAATGTGTATATTAGTGTGGGTGTGTGTATAAGTGTGAGGCCTCCACACCTGCGTAAGCCTGTCTGTCTTGTGTGGATGAGAAATGTGGGTAGGTTTTGATTTGTAGAGTTATATATTAATACTATGTATATTTTTAAATTTATGGTTTAGCCCGGCTGGATAGTGTGTTTTTAAACGTTGTATCCACTTATTTTCATGGGACTCTAAAATCTTTCTAATGTTATCTGCTCTGAACTTTTCTATTCTCTCAATTATAGTGAATTTGGCATGGGTTTTGAAATCGTAGTAATGATAATGGGCATACTTTTAAAAAGATGTCAAGAACACCAAAACGCACAATAGCACGAAAATAGAAACACAGTACACAATAAATAAATAAATAAATAAAAATAAAATGACCTGCCAGCTTTCATTTCGTTTTTTTCTTTTCTTTTGTACTTCTATTTTCGTGCGTGTTTTTCTTATTCTTGACATTTTTTAATTATATGCTTTTTTTTATTTCTCTAATTAAAAAAAAATATCTTAAATCTTGTTTCGTTTGGCTTCTATAGAGCAGTCAACTAAGCTATCAATAAACTATTTTACAAAAGTTACTACTCACAAAGAGAAGTATCAAAAATCTGTCGTAGAAAAGCCTTCCACACAACTTGTTCAAATTCCCCTAAATTTTCGATAGTGTCTTATATGGACGATAAAAACGGTTAAAATATACTCCTGAAGAAGGCTGAAAGCTATTGACGGAAACGTTACGATCACAACAACAAAGATAAGAATTTTAGTCAAAATAAGTTATTAGAATATCGATTGTAATTAAATTTCTTAATTTTAGACTCCAATGAATTTTTTCTTTATTTTAATTTAAAAAAATTTTTATTTTTTATTTTGGCCAGTGGCTGATCGGGACCAGAACATGGTGGAAGACAACTTTGTTCACACAGATGTTCGGACAGTGCTGTACCCCGACAATCACTTGGAACACCAACGTTTACAGCCAGCCCCAGTCGTCCGATTGGAAAATAACAGACCCCCTTATTATGGTGCATCGGCACACCACTCGCCACCCTCAGCAGTAGCTACGTCTGCCGTCCCTGGCGCTTCGACGTCTATGCCAACGCCCCTGACAACAACGTCAACAACAGTAGGCAATTGTTCTCGCCTTAACCAACTTTGTTTAGAATCTTGGACAGGTTTCGGCCCTAGAGACATTAAAAATACCAGTGTGTGTCAACCTCCCGGAGGCCTTTCGAATATAAATAGTGGTCGACAAGCGCAATTGAAACCGACTGTCGTTCTTTCTGAAATCGCTCGCTCTGCCGTGAAGTTTAATTGCGCATCGAACTTTCTGCTAGTGAAACCCAAGCGTACAAGTGTGGACGTTTGATCAATCGATAATAATAATAATAATAATAATAATAATTAAAACGACTAAAATCACGTTGAAAACGGTGGGGATATAAACGAGAAGAAGCTTTTAAGAGAGGTATAAAGAAAAAGAGAACATGATCACCATAGAGTCTCGTCATTTAACGTGATTCTGAGAGATTTGAATGCCATACTGAACTATTAACTGAAGTAAAAACAATGATAAAAAAGGGGAATACATTCATTTAAACAATTGATAAAAAACAAACAAAATACAACGGGATTTATAAAATAATAGTAAAAATCTATGAACGAATTGGAATCAATTTGAATTTTGTTAATCATAGATTTTTTTTCATTTTGCTTTGACTGCGATGAGATAGTTCAGTAGCAACAGAAATCGACTGAAAACTCGCAAGTTAGCTGTTACCAGATGAACAAAATATGTACGAAATTAAAGCACTTTATTAATAGGTGATAATGATATTTGTAACATGTATGAACCCGCCGAAGATTGAGAGAAAAAAATCAGTACAATCCAAAAGATTTATCGTGGCTTCCTTTGAATAAAAAAAAACACAATTTTCTTACTTTCAGATCCACTTCCAGAAATAAACAAACAAGTTTCGGGTGATATCAGAGCGACTATTCTCATTTATCGACCTTGCTGTACAAGACAGAAGATATTTCATAGTTTATGCCTTTGAAGAGATTAAACGTAGATTTTAAATTTTAAATACTTTCCTGGAAATTGAGCCTTGCACATGGAAAATACAGTATCGCTTTAAGACATCATCTACTTATTATCAAAGATAAAATATATTTAGAAGAAATATAAAATGTTTCTTTCCTTTTGAAAGAAATATTTTTGAAAAAATATTTTTTCTCAGTCTAGCTAAATTCATCTGATAGAGAAAAAAAACATCTCTCGTTTCGTGCGCATGCGTAGACGTGGCAATATCATCAAAGCCCAGTCCAATGAAATCCTAACGGATGAATCACGTCACAAAAAACTTTTCAGTTTGTCATATATTTTCCTAAATACTGTTTGTTTACATATAAAATTATACAAAATTTTATATAGTTTGGTCTGGTGAGATGATACCGAGGAATGGGTCATGCGAAATAAAATATTACCATGGGTTTCTAAAGTTTCACATTTCATCATCATTATTATTTGCTCTGTTCTTACATTGAGCTCTCTTTGGATTTATATCCTCTTTGGAATTATCCATACAAATTATTAAATAATATATATATATATATATATATATATATATATATGGGAGAAAATGATATATACATATAGAACAATGTTAGGAAAATTAATGAAAAAGAAGAAAAACTTGATTTCGTGTAGTGTTTCGTCCTTTAAGTCTTCATCGGACTAAAGTGACGTTGTTGTAACTACACATTCGCCTGAAGGAGAGGGGTCATTGGAATTTTAAACTTTTAAATTTAAATTATGTTTTTAAATATGAATTTCGATATACCGCCAAGCCAATTTTTTTTTTTTCGTTTATAGTTTTATAACTTTTTTTTTAATTAAGAATCCCACGTTTGGAAAATAGAAATTCTGTCAAGAAAGGTGACATGTTCCAAGAAACTGGATGCAAATCTACTGTGGGTGATTTAGCGATTAAAGCCTTTTTTAAACACTTTCGTTTTGGTAAATTGATTTTGTTTTTAATTAAATAGCTTTTTTAATCGAAACTATGGCGGGACTCAATACGGTACGCAGCTTATGCCCAAAGTTTATGTTTTTGCAAAAGACCGCTTTTATGTTCATATAAAATATTTATTTAAATTTTTCGATGTTTCCCCTATATACTTTTGGTGGCAATTATTACAGGTGAGTTTTAACTTATTATTTTATATCAATTAAGTCTTTCATTGTTTTAGAAGTAATTGTAACAAATGTTTAAGTTTAGATAATTTTTTCAATTTTAATTGTGATAGAGTTTTTTTTTTTTTTAAGCATTTCAACCCAAGCAAGGCGGGATGACACTAGCCCACAAGGGGTTACAGAGTGTTTGAGCGAGAGTAAAGAGGCGTGATAGAGGAAAGGTTGAAGAGAAGGACGGGGAATAGATCAAGTCAACTGGAGATGTCGATTGACGCTGCATTTGTATAATTGGAGATTATAGCTATCAGGGAAACACGTAATAGAAAGAGAATTCCACAGACGAGAGTTGCAAGACATGAAGCTATTAGAGTAGAAGAGACGGCTACATTTTATCGTTTCAACAGTGAAAGGTTGGGACCAAGATGCCACCCTAGTAGCACGTTTAAATTCATGCAGTCTGGTGACGGTATGTCTGTGAGAGAGCATCTGTAGAAGAGATGGTGCTTAGAATTATATATTTTGATCCGTTGTGTTTTTAAAAATGGTCAAGTTTTCGATTTTAAAATATTTTGCTATCCTTTTGTTTCGCGTTGAATATGAAATGATTAGGGTATTGGATGTTCTTAAAAGTATTTTCAGTGTATTTTTCCCATTTATATAACTAGTGAGAACTACAAATTTTAAGTACTCTTAAATAGAATCTGATGCTTATTCTGGGTTTTATCTTGTTATTTTGGGAATAATAGAAATTTATGAATTCATTTTTATTAGTTGATTTGCGATGGACACTAAGTTTTAGATTATTGTCAATACGGTGTAACATGATATCTATTTTCCCATTTTTTCATTATGTTTAGTATATATATATATATATATATATATATATATATATATATATATATATATATATATAGAACATAGACGCAATCGTCAGGCCTGACGATTGCGTCTAGCATGAAACAGATTGTCGCCTCTAAGTGTTGACTTCTATGTTCACTTTTATATTTACACACGCTTTATCTCTGATATTGAGTACTTATCCCATAAATATAGCACATCTTAAGACTATATATATATATATATATATATATATATATATATATATAGTATTGAGGCCTCACATTATACACACGAAAATACACACTTACACACATCATACTCACTCACTGCCTAATGAGCCAACACACCCATAGTAATATACACGCTTACACACATCATACTCACTCACTCCCTAAGAACCAAATAACACACTCACACTGAACAGAGACACATCCCCTTTCCAGGAACCAATAAAACTGTCAAACTGACCAAGGGAATTCAGAGCAGCATGAATCCATCCAGCTTTTATCTCAAATAACAACTTAAAAGAGACTATTTGATTAACACAAGGACTGACCAAAATTCATGTTAAAAAAATTAAAAAAAAACAAATGAAAACTACAGACCAAAATTCATTTTCTCCATCAAGTCATTCATTTCTGTAGTTCACTGCTACCAGCAAGCAGAAAATTATTTTTCTCCTGATGATGGCCATGTTGGCTGAAACTAGTTGAGGAATCTAAATGAAATAATAATAAAAACGAAAGATTAATATACAACTCAGTGTGTCTGAAGATTTAATTTGTTAATATTTTTTATTGTTCAATATATATATATATATATATATATATATATATAATAAATACACATATACGTACGTTTGTAATGCAACTTAGGGAGATATTGGGAAAACAAAGCAAAAAAAGAAAAAAAGAAAAAGAAAAGAGATTTAAAAATTACAAAGCATAAAGTGAAATCAATATATTTGCTTACAGTCTATATTTTGAATTTACATCCCAATAATGTATTGGGTTTATATTAACTTTGAGCTTTAAATTTGCATATAATTAGCGTTCCTCCCATGAGACCCAGTATTTTTAAAAATTAACTGTAGTAAGTGGTTAATTTACCTCTTGTACCTGACGATTTGGGAAACCATGAAACTTTAACTACAGACGCTAGTATATGTGTATTTATTAATATATATTACATAGCACTGTTTAACTACATTGAGTACTGTTTGTTTGCAACATAAATTAAATAAATATTTATTTGCTTATCTGTATGTACGCTATCCCACGCATATACAGTTGCTAATATATTTTTATTTAGTTGATATTCACACTTATATATATATATATATATATTACAATTATTTTTAAAAATATATGATTCCTTCGCTACATAAGAGTTCTCATGTTTCAAAAACAAGAGCCGAAAATCTGATTGTAATTATTAAAATTAAATTGAAGCTATCAAGCCCTGTTTCATCCTCAAGCGAAAATTTAGGAATAACCAATCTTGAAATTTACGCATCTTTATAAGCAAAATTAGTTAGTATGGAAACGGCTAGAGCGACCATCCTGATAAGGGGCATAAGAGTTAATTTGTATCTACATATCAGTCATCTTCCGAAAGAGGACAAGCCGAGGTGGGTCCGGGGTATCCATTTGAACGTGACTGATGGCATCCATGTACGCACATCGTCTGGTCAGTCACAGCGAAAGATAGCTGTTGGCACCATAATACATCGTGAAGTGTCTAAAGAATTTTATTTTATTTATTTATTTCCTAAAGGGCTGTTTCGTACATAAACGCGTCGCACTGAGCTACAATTTGTTTCTTTGACGACTTCATAAAGGGTTTTTCTATCTTATGATTGGGTTAAGCTTTTAAACCTTTTATGAGACTATGAAATTTAATTTTTTTATGCTAATTATTTAATGCGAAAATTTGTTGATGTCGACAAAAAACCGTTAACTCATGTCTATGGTTTAATAAATTTTCATTATTTAGAAACTTAATAAAGTGTTGGGCATGGGTCATCCCAGGTTTATATGACATAAGGTTATATATATTTTATAGATCAAGGTTAGTACGGTTGAGATTGTATGGCAAAATGGAAAAAAGAACTTATATCCTCCATGACTTCCTCGGCCTAATTTTGTTATGGTAGCTTGACTACATATACACACGTCAGAGAGGTGATAAGAATTTTAGATTTTTTTTTTTTTTTTTATCTAGCCGAATTCATTTAAAGTCTTTTTCTTTTACTTTCCCTCACTTTTGGGAGTAGGTATTTCACACTGTGATATTAGAAGATCTACCAGGATTGATGAAATATTGTAAGAGCC